TCATTGCCATCAACAAGCATCTATGGATTACGAAAAATATGAGTTTTTTAATCAATATCTATATATGTAGATGATTTTTTTATAATCTAATTTATTATGTTCAAACCAATCCAAACATTACGACCCAGAAATATTATCATTTTCTTTTCGTTAAATATTTATTTCTCAATAGCCTAAAAAATGACAGCGAGAGAAAAGTACATACAAAACAGTATTACTTATATCGAGCTTATTTATAACTGGTATCTTATAAATTGTATGTAAAATTAATGTATTTCATAATATGTAAACTATTTAACGTAACAAAGTCAAAATTAAATCTTACCTGCATGCCAAAATATTTGTCCCTTAACTCAATAATTTAGGTTTGAGGTATAGAAGCTTAGTAGATGAACCAACCCTCGAAACCGCAACCTCATGTAGCTTTTGTAAACCCTTTGAAGCTTAATTCATACATTTAAAAATAGCTCGGTGTAAAATTTAATTTTGGACTCATCTAACTGAAATCAATATATATATATTGATTGATATTTTATAAAAAAAATACGAATACGGGCTCCAAAGAAATAAATTAAAGGTTCTAAATTTAATTAAATAGATTTTTAAACACACACTTTTAATTTTAATATTTCAAAGATACACAGATGTCCTGAATAATTTCATACCTCTTTATTTCTGTATTAGTTTAACGATACAAAAATAAAAAGAAAGAGATGAGCAAAAAGAAAACATATATACTTGTTGTCCCCGATTTCAAGCTTATGAATCTACTACGTACTATATAATATTTATATATGTATATGTACTTACGTTTTTTAATAGTATGTAAAAAGACCTTCAAAATATAAAAGTAAATATAAAAAAATATGAAAATCTTAAGCGTGATTATGTGAATATTGCTAGATTTAATAAACGTCTTCAAGAGAATGCATATATCGGAATTTACAAGCTGGCTACAGAGCGGATTTATATTTATGTAATCGTTAGAAAGAAAACATCAAATTTTCAGAGAATGTTCAAATTAAATTTATTATTATTCTAAGTCGAAACTGTTTTCTACGATGTTGACACAGTCACTTATCTGAAGAAATACGAAATAGCGATAGGGACCCATTTCGTATTTCTGTATCTTCGACGATATCGTACAAACCTTTTGAATTGCCTCGGGTAAGCAATTGAATCAATCAATTTACGTAAGTGAGTAAAGCAGATAAGTGTGTTCTTAAAAACTTCAAATGCCAATTCCTACCTAAACCTAAATTAACCAACAAGTATTCCATTTTATAATGCTTACAGTGAACTAGATCGAATCAGAAATGAGGAGATCCGCAGAAGAACCAGAGTGACCGACATAGCCCAAAGAATTGCGACTCTGAAGTGGCAATGGGCAAGGCACATAGCTCATAGGACAGATGGCCCTTGGGGCAGTAAAGTCCTCGAGTGGCGACCACGGACTGGAAGACGCAGCGTGGGAAGGCCTCCAGCAAGGTGGACCGACGATCTGGTCAAGATCACTGGAAGGCATTGGATGCGAGCAGCGCAGGACATCGTCGTAGAGATCTTTGCGAGAGGCCTTTGTTCAGCATTGGACGTCTTCCGGGCTGAGATGATGATGATGATGACAGTGAAGTAGCAGTTTATTAGCACACTCTAGTGTGATTACTCGCATATTTGTATTGGTTTGAGTGTTTCCTATGTATATTATTACAGTTGTCTAATACAGACACTCCTCGTATTACGGCATGTTAGGTTCTCAAAATACACGACGTAAGTCGAGACATATGTATTTTTTCATATGCTTATATGTAAAACTCAAGAGTTAGGATCAAAAATAAAAAAAATTACAAGTTTTGGTAACACTGATAGGCTACAGAAATATCATTATTAACGTTTAAACTTCTCTCAAAATTAAGATCATCCTATGCCATAAATCGAAACAATTGACATATGCTTGAGCAATAGTGTCAAAACATTGTTCGACGTAACTTGAAACGAGGTAAGTCGAGGACTGCCTGTACTCATAACTTAAGCTCTGCTGACCGTGAAACCAGATGGCACTGTGGTAATTGTCCAAGATTATTTAAACAAAAATATACAAACATTTGTATTCATAAATTGTTTCGTGTAACTTTTGAGATCTATGTGAATTGTGGCTTATTATTATATCCTTTTACATCACTTATTTCTATACGCACATTTTGTTGGGTATATTGAAATCTGATGTGGTATTGGTTTCTCCATCACCGAAAAGACCGTTAAAATATAGGTAGATAGAAAGTAGTAGAAAACAACTAGACTACAATGCTATCAATCATTCTCTCTTATGTAAATCGTACTTATATTATTAAGGATTCATATTAGCATTTGTAATTCAAACAATAACTACTGTACGTATCTGTGTAAACATAATAATTGGTTGTATGTATAGGTAGATTATTATGTCCACATACATGATTAATGACGATAATACTGAAGAATTTCATGGCCATGGGTTTCCTACACCCGACGTACACCTAAGAGATAATGAGTTCAAATCTCGCCGGCACCAAAAACAATACGTGCTAATTATTTTTCTGAAAGATACACTGATAATAAACAAAAAATTAATTAAAAAAAAAACCCGCTTGCTGCCATTTAGGGTTCAAATATATTCAGCGAACTGTGGGCGTGGTAAGCGCTGTGGTGACAACGACGACATAACAAAACAACAACAACTGTATAAAACTATATAAAAAAGAAAATCATAGTCTAAATTAAATACATTGAATAAATTAAATATAGTTCTTTACGAACCAATTCAACACAAATAAAAAACCATCTCAATAAACATAAATTTAATCTAAACATTCTCTGCTAAACCGGGCGTAAACTGAAAGCGCGGAAGCAGTATGTGATGCTAAATAATGCTAATTGATATATACATACATATATCTAATTATCCCAACAGATACCATCATGAAGGTATATTAATTTATGTATTACCTTTCTTTTGTCTATTACAGTGTAATAAAACAAATAACTTTGAACATAACGAGACATTTATTTCTTTGGATTCTAAAAAAGTTTTTTGTCAGCAAACCATTCAAGTTGTCAGCTTCGTTAACAATTCGCGTTATTCACGAGGGATAAAGTTATACGAAATTCACCCCGGGGTGGAGATTAAAATATATATATAAGTCTAGGCCGATTCAGATAGGACACGCTTTCCTTTTTAATATACAATTGAATTTGATGTACGTAAATACTTTTTATAAATAAGTATGTATTTTGTGGTCATTTTTTCTATATAAATATATGAAGATTAGCAATCTCTTTATGACTTATTGATTCTCAAGAATTGACGTATGATTTCATGATATCCTTCATAGTTGTTATCAATAGGCATGGTTATTATTTTCTGTCATATAGCATCTTCATTTGAAGAGTATCTCTCACCCTTCTTTAATATATAGCAATGAAATTACAGAGGCGAACACCTTAAACTTATGAAGTTATTAAGTATTATTTTACCTAATAATCTAAAATAAATAATAGGTCATAATCATACCTTCACGCATAAGCAGGACGAACATATATTAATAATGAAAATATAAATATGTATTTTTTGATGGTACACAATTAATAAGACGGTTACATAATTTGCATCTGTATAAATGCTATTTCAGTCTGTTCATGAGCGTACACAAGGAGGAATAAGGAACTCACTGCGCCTCCCTGATTCCTTCTGGTCCTTGCATCTCAGCAAGCACCCCATCTGAATTTTTTTTTAAAAACAAACCCAATGTCAAATCACACTCAATATCTGACTTGCCCCTCATTCTCAGGCCATGAAGGAAATCTACCTTGTCTCTTTCTGGGCCCAATCAATGTCCCATAGTTTTACATAAAATAAACAACACAAAAATTAGTATCCCAATTAAATTTACGAAACTTTTCTATTTTTGTCTCTAAGTCAGGGAAGCAACTTATTAATTAGGAAATCACAAAATTAGATTTCCGTATTTTAAGAAAGTTTAAGACCGTTGTAGATGTTTCCTGAATACTCATTTAGTTCAAACTCATTTCACTTGTTTGGCATGACATGCCTACTAAATAACAAAACTTCAAGTAAGTATCTAAGATATTAATGAACGAAGTTGGGTGAGCCTTCATAACAAACTCCTAAATACACATAGAAAGATTCTTATTTTAATAACTTATTTAAATATTTATTACAATTTAAAAATATATATCTTTTAGACTATTTTTATATGGATTATTCTGATATTTTTTGTAAATGCATAAGACTTACGTCATTCTATATATGACATTGATTTTCATACATTAATCAAGTATTCTGAATGTTGATTTCATATAATGCGGTCACACTCACTTTATAGTTTCACATCCCACAGTATTCTCGCATTCTTTAATAAGAAAAGCTCACCAGACAAGGATACAATATCTAAAATCTACATTTATATCAATAATTTTGATTTTGTAATGAAGAAATCAAACTCCTAAATAACAGCAGCAATTTGAGAATTTTTTTAACTGTTTGGAAGGTTGATATAAAATAATATAGGCTTACTTCCGGATGCTCATAAATTAATAAACAGGGTTATGAGCACCTGGGCGAAGGTAGTGTTGGCCACTAAAGGATTATAAAACATTTGTTATTCTTATGGTTAAGGAAATTAGTCTGGATTGAATTACTACAAAGACAGAAGAGAGGGAAGGGGGGATTTATTAATAGGTATTGGTAGCGATACAGGTAGGTGCCGATCTGAGGTCCGATATGAGGTCGATCTTTACGTTGTCCCTCTAGTGATAATTCCTTGTCAATTTGCCACGATGGACTAACTGAACAGACTTCATTCTCATCCTTTCATCCTTCTCTGGTACCGATAGCGCATGGGGATGTATCATTCCATATTTATCCATAAAAAATAGCAGTAAAATAAACAAAAATACCATAGTATTGTACCTACATAGATAGTGATGTAACGCCATTGTTTCAGCTGTTCGACGGCGATGCTATGTGCGTCCATCATGACAGACCACTGGGAGCACGTGGTGTGGGAACATGCAGCTCTTGTCGCCTTAGCCAACACCTCCAATACTGCATTGCAGTGGCTGCTCGATGAGAAAGTTGCTAAGGTATATATGAAAATAATAACTGTACTTAGACAGAATTCTGTTTATTGGTATAAAGAAATAAAAAAGATACAGGTGGGTTTGATCAGAGACATTGTAAACTGTTGCTGTGGTGAACGCAATAATTGATATGGTCACATTTCGATGAGTATATTTTGAATCCGACTTGACAGGGGGAAACCTACTATCGTCTCTCGAATTATTTTCTTATGTCGGCCAGATTTGAATTCTCCGGTGTAAGTCAGGGTAGTAAATCACTGGGCCACAACGCTCTACTCTTGTTTATTAGTAGAAAAGTTATATAAGCGATTCAGTAGTTCCAAAGTTCTTTCTTAGGATAATTCACTGATGAAACAAAATGCAGAAACGTATGTTCCCCAAATACGAGTTTATTAAGTTACCATATTCAAAATAGAGCTCACGCACTAAAATAGTAGCTTAGATAAACGAACTTTTCAAACAATGTTACGTGATAAAGTTCTACTGCCTCTTAAGAACAGTTGCAAAACTTCTCAAGCCAACTGTAGGTAGGTACTTATTCTTCGTAGTATATAACGCCGCCAACTCTATTTTGTTTCAGTGAAACATTTATACTTGACAATTCTCCTTACAGAATCTGTATAATATATGCGTATATATCTGATTCTTAATTTTGTATAATGATGGCCTTGGTGTTCTAGCGGTTTAGCACACCGCTTTACTTCCGATGATCGCGAATTTGATTCCCCGCACGGTGCAAGCATTTCTATTCATGGTTCTATTATTGTTTTTATCGTTCTGGCCGTTTTCTATGTATTTTATGTATGTATTTTATAAAAAAAAACCGTGGGACTAGATAGCGCTGTGGAAATTGTCTAGAGTTATTTATTTATTATAAAGTTGAAGGGTTTGTTTAAATTAACGTGTTAATTTTTGAAACTATCTCTGAAAACTTCTTTTAATAATTTACTCCCTAATGCTTGTAAAGGTTATAGGTAATTTAACATGAGGATAATATAACGAAAATAAAAAAACGACTAAAAAATATAAAGTGATAATGAACAGGCGAGCGGAAACGGAGGACGGCGCCATTTCCTTTAAAAAAGTTGCGAATGAAATCGCAAGACTGGAACTTTATAAAAGATAATTGAACTTGAACAGAATGGTTATTCAGAGAGGGAATGCCGCTAGTGCCTTGGGAATACTAGCGCGATGTGGCACGTTGTAAAATAATGATTACAATCTATAATATTGCCATATTATTACATAACTGGTATTATGTATAAATCAAATAAGGTTGAAGAGAAAATAGCAATGTACAGACAATTTAACATATTATACTGCACACTGGTGTCACTGAAAACCAGCATATTCCCATAGGACGTGCCGTAAATCTGAATAAACCCATTTTGTTGATTTACAATGTTTTGTTTCTTTTAATTTATGTTTTACTTGGTTTTTATAAAATTGTTAGACTATATTATATATAACCTTTATATAAAATAGAAGGGTGTGTTGCAGTGATTCACAACTGCGTGGTAATGGTAAAATGATTTCTGTAATAAAAATCATTCCTTGCTTATAAAATTTTTTATTACTTTCACGATGAAAAGACGAAATTGTTCAATTTAATTAGATATTGGTTGGTATACTAATTCCATAAATATAAAATTGCCGATTTCCAATTCACATTATAAATTTGTAATTTACTATGAAATTACATCAATATTTAAATATTATGTTTAGAACAACGTCTTTGTTTATTGCCTAATTACATAAATTAGAGTGTTATTAATTTCTCAGACCATTCCCGGAATATTCAAAGACGGGCTCAGTAAACAGAAACCGTCGTTGTATAGCAAAATGCACAGTTCAGGGTCTGCTAACTTTTATCAGATCACCTTGACCAGTAGACCCTTGCATGCAATACGCTTAATCAATGCTACAATCATATAACTACACATGTAGACTTCTACAATACTGTATTGTGTTAGTGAACTCCTTCACTAACACTTATTGAAGACAGTTATATAAAAGCTTTGAGATAAACAAAAAACTACTACAATGAAATCCTACAAAAATTGAAGAACTTGAAATTGGATTTACAGATTGGAGTATGTAGGTGCCAGAATTAATAAATTTTTATATACTAAAATGTAATTAGAGACGTATAAATAGGTATGAAAATGTATAAAACTATATATAGGTAGTAATATAAAGTATAAAAAATGCAAAATGTGTAAGTGCAATGTTAAGAGTTTTAAATAGGAAAACAAGAAAGTAGATATGCAACTACGCTCCGCTACCCAACACTTAATTAAAAACTTAGTTTCTGTTGCTGTAAATGTGGTTTAAAATCTTTTTTAAATTTATAGTTTGTAAAGCAGATGGATTTTTGTCAATGTTACATTTATTTAATTATCTATTAAAGATAGATTTCTATTTAATTTAGCTGATAATATACCTACAAATGATGTAATATAGGTATTAATAATGTACCTATAGATACACTTCGGACAGTATACAAACTTACATAACATTGTACTTACAATACAACTTATTACAAATATGTTTAATAATATACTCGTTAGTTATTTGGTGAGATAATCGTGGCACAATGGTTTGCTGCTCTAACTTATTAGCTTCAAGAAGTCATGAGTTAAAATCTGGTTCTTGCACAAAAATTAAAAAAATTATATGTACCTAAATTAGTATTTCTAAATATTCCATCTTTGATAACAGTTGTATGTTAATATAATTAGTATTCATTAATTAGGTGAATATCATGTATAGGTACTTTATATAAATAAGAGATCTTTGTTAAGTCAGTTTCTTGTTTCTTTTTAAAATTCAGTAGCCACTTATATAAGTTGTATAAGTAATATTATTCAGTCTCCCGAAGTAATTTAATTTAGACAAGTAATCTACTAATGGATCGTATTGTACTATAGTAATTACTATTGTTATAATAGATATTTACCCCAGTTAATGTTGGAATTTAGTAACGAACACTTTGATGATTACCTCGGCTTACTTTAAAGCTAATTAGATGTCCTTTTGTATTTATATAATACAAACTTTGTTGTTGAAATAGAATAGAAGGTTTGTAATTGAAATTAACTCGTATGAATTAACTAATTGAATCACTGAACTATACAATTTAGTAATTAAATAATAGGTAGTCACGGTAGTCGTTCAATTATTACACTTATCATATCCTAATTAATAAACTATATCAACTTAATTATTATACGTACTACTTCCACCCACTTCCACATTACGATGGAAGTCGTTTTCCGTCAAAAACTACTACGTAGATCTTAATAAAATTTATATAGGACGAAATGGGAGATACCTCCTTTCAAATAAAAAAAAACTAAATTAGTTAACTAAAAAAAATCACAGTCATGAAAACATCCACTTTAAAGTTGTAGTCTGGAACTTTTTTGATTTTACACTGTGTATTAGTGTATCCTTTTACAAAGAATGAATTATAATGATGAAATAAATCATTTTTCGATGTATATGTATATACCCTCTTAGCTATCATTGGGTACATCCTAAAACAATTATTTTAGAAATCTAAATTCTAAATAAAAACAAAAACCTAAATAGTATATGAGGTTATGGCTAGCAATTGCGAGCTTATTAAGAATTAAATTCCAGAAAATGAACTTAAATATTTAAACTTAAATATTAAATATTTTCAATATTGTAACAAATATCAACTTAATGTGTGTGTGATATCGTTTAATTAATATTGAATTACAACAATTGGAAACAAAAATAATCTTTTATCACTACTTTTGAATAAATCAATAAATACTTTATAAGAAACAAAACACGCTTCTAAAGTAACTTATTGAAGTCGAATGATTAAATGATTACGTTAACATATTGCGAAAAATTACCAACAACGTAAAACGAAGGCTTTTCACCGTGGAAACCTGACAGATGGTTCTGCATTTCAATCGGTAGTCGACGCTGGTCGTATTCAGGTCAAGGCAACGAGGGTATGAAACAATAGTCTTTATGTAATCAGTTGAATGACCAAATAACTGCACCTCGATAATGCACGCGATTTTTAAGGGTTCACCACAACCGACGAACATAACCGGATATCTTTATTATAGACATTTAGTCGTAAAAGGTATATAAGAGTTTTTTTTAATGGATAGTATTGGAATGTTTCTCTCGCCTGCGTTAACGGATTACCCTGGCTTGTTGCCTGCCTGTCTTATCGTCTCCCCTGGTGTCCACCAGGGGAGAGGAGAAGACAGGCATAAGGTCAGGTCAGTTAAGCTGATGATGGTTTCCACGGGCAACCGCGTGAAGTTCAACCTGATATAGTACATTGCTTACAGTGGGGTTATTTGTCCACAACATTAACAATAGCATTCACCCCAGTATAACTACTTATATAAAAGTAGGTATATCCACGCCGAAAACTAATATTCTCAACGATTTTACCAACGAAGCAAAGAGGAAAATCCGATAAATTTTTACAAACTTCATACCGACGGCACGGTAACGTGATTTATTTTGTATAAAAACTTGAACATTTTTGCTTAGATCTCCATTTTGAATTCTACAAAAGTAGTAGGTATTACATATGCGTATATATGTATGTATAACGAACATTTTTGTTATCAAGAAAGTATGTAATAACTTATAATCTAATACTTAGTAACTTATTATTATTAGAAACTAATAATTATTCTTTTTTTTCAGATCGAAGACGCAAGTAACAGAAAAGGAGGAAGCACCTTTTTAGTACCAATGAACGGCGGAATTTGGACCATGTGCGTCTCTCTCGAAGGTATATATTTTACACAAAATACAAATCACAAAATACATGAAATCTATAAAAAAATATTTTGACTGCCACAACAAATACACGTAATATTTTAGTATTATAACTGGGAAAATAAGGTTGTTTGTTACGCTTTCACGACTTTACATGCCTTAATCGATCATGAAATCCGCCATACACGTAGTACTGGGATAAATAACTTTTTCCACTGACTACATTTTTAATACAATCGCAAACAGGGTTAGGGGGACGAAGTAAGGGGTCAATAGCGCGCGGCAACTATATTTGTCATCGCCATTATATTATAAGAGTACAATTAAACAAATTTTAATTGTAATTAAAAAATATTAAATTAATACTTTACAGTAATATATTATTATCCTCGTTGTTTTATAAGTTTACAAGTATCAATCATATTGCCAGCCTCGGTGGTCTAGCGATTTAGCGCATCGCTTTACTTCCGATGGTAGCGGGTTCGATTCCTCGCACCGTGCAAACATTTGTATTTATGAGTATGATTGTTTATATCGATCTAGATGTTTTCTATGTATAATGTATATATTTACAAAAAAAATAATATCTAAGTGTTTATATTAGTACCCATAACACAAGCTCTGGTAATTTATTTATATATTTACTAGCTGGCCCGACAAACGTTGTTTTGCCTTAATTAAAAAAAAAAATTAAGGGTGGACTACCCCTAACATTTAAAGGGATGAAAAATAGATGTTGGCCGATTCTCAGACCTACTCAATACGCTCACAAAATTTCATGAGAATCGGTCAAGCCGTTTCGGAGGAGTATGGGAACGAAAACTGTGACACAAGAATTTTATATATAAGATTAATACAATAACCGAGGACAGTTGACACGTCATCTAATCCCCAACTAAGCAGAGCTTATACAATCGGTACTAAACAAACATTGCGAATACTTAAATAAATATGAACATTATATATTTAGAAAATACAGGATTCAATACAAACATACGAGTAGGTACTCATGAATACAAATGTTAGTATCTTGCGAGAGTTGAGCCCTCGACTCAATGGTCGAGTACTTCAATGAGTAGGGTGTGCTAACTTTTATACGTATTCCTTAGGTAAAGGTACTTTTAAAGACATTAAATTTTTTCAACTTTGTACCTTTATCTTTATTTATCTGTATATTTATGACTAACTAGCTATATCCGCGACTTCGTCCGCGTGGAATTTAACTTTATTTTACTAAAATAAAAGTAGCCTAAGTTACTCCTTATTAATGTGCCAATAAAAGTCCCGTCAAAATCGGTCTAGTCCTTGAGATTACGCGGAACAAACAGACAGACAGACAGACAAAAATTGTAAAAAATGTTATTTTGGTGTATGTACCGCATTTATATTCATATTAATATAGTAAAAACGGTTATTTCAATATTACAAACAGACACTCCAATCTTATTTATATGTATAGATTTAATAACTTGTGGTACCTATTGTACGCGTGTATATTTGTAGATGACATCTATTGCATAATAAAGTATTTATACAATGCTATTTATTATTTTAGTAAATTAACCTTACTTAGACGGATGGCTAGTATTAAATAAAACTCTACTTCCAGAGGAAGAAGTGTCGATATTATCAAGAGCCGGCTTTCCAACACAACCACTGTGCACAAATTATTTAGCGAATAATGATGACGATGAACCGAGAGCTGACTGGCAACATCGTAAGTATATAACATATATGTACGTATATATATTTATTTTTAATGTAATTTGTATGGCAAACACGATGACGTCCACCTTTTTTTTTTACGTGGTGAAAATCTCCATAGATTCAACCACCCGTCTAGGGGAACAGGTGGGATATATGAGATTGTACTCACTTCTACCGCGTTGACGGTCCACCTAATGCGTTGTCGTCCAGAGGACCAATATAAATATATTCTGTAATTTCACTACCTATAACCGAAACACACCTTAGAAATCACGCTGGATGGCAGATAAAACAGGTAAGGCTGAGGTGAGTAGATCCACGCAGATTTTTTTTTCAGTCTAGCTATGTTAAAAAAATGGCTTTTATTATTATTTATCATTTGATATTCATCATAATTATGGGACTACATAGTACCTGGTACTGGATTACCTGAAGTAGTTTTTATAAAACGTCGTCTGCGTGGGTCCTTCTGATTCGACTATATCAACCGTGAAGTGTAAAAGTTTATTTTCATGAATATAGAATACATTATGACATAGTGTATTATGTAAATGAAATTAATATTTATTGCATAAATTGTATATGTGATGTTTTAAATAAATATTATTCGTGTCACTCATTTTATCATCTCCAACATTTAACAGAAATACAATTGTCAATTTTAGATATATATTATAAAAAAAACTACTAAATACATATTTTATAAATAAACTATAATTATTATTTGAATGATCATATTATTAACGACATAAGCATGGTCAATTATTTATTAATAATATGCTATATTTATATATTTAAGCATGATAATTATTTTTATTTTGTAAATCCTCCTGTATACTGTAGAAACATTTACTTCTTATATACTCATACGCAGTTCTTCTTAGTATATATAAATCTTTTTATGTGAATATATAGCCAACAGTTACTATTTCCCATCTAGCTGGACTCTCAGTTTATTTGCCGTTGTAATCGTATAAAAAACTGTAAATGGCGAATGAGTAACGACTACTATATAAACACTTAGTAGCTCACAAACCAATTCTAGTTTTATATCTCTAGAAAATAGACAATAAAGTAGACTATGAGCAACTCTATATAAACTCTGTATATCTTTATGTGAGAAATAAATTCTTATTTCTTCTAAATTTTTAATGTGATTGCCGCTTGGACGTCATAATCTGGACGGTACTAAAACACTCTATTGTCAATATACCAGAAATATTAGATCTATAAGTAATATAGTCTAATAACCACATTTCTAGCAATGTACCATGTCAGGTTGACCTCCACGCCGTTCCCCCTGGAAACCATTGTGGTTAATTCCTGATGAACACACCACGATGCCTATCCTCCACTGATGCTCTGCCAGTGTAGCATAGGCAAGTGGACTATTCCATTATTAAAAAAATGTCTCTTACAACTCTCGTATAATAGTCGCGGCAGTATATTTTTCCATTATTTATTTTTTATTTTACTTCTTTTCCATCTATTAAAAGTACTTCATTCACGTTAGAATACTAATATAAAATATAGTATAATTCCTCTAGCCCTACCAGCACCAAGTGTGCTTTTTAGTAAGTAAAAATCCCACATACCCCACCCCACGCTGCCACCCTCGGTGGGTGGAAGTCTTTGGAACATTTTTCACATGTTAAAAAAGGTGCAAAATTTACTACTGTCTTTTATTTTTCTTTCTCAAGCACTTTAAAAACGTGACTGATACACTGGAGTTCCTGTCCATTCCTCATATATGGCCCTTGGAACACATAAATGACTGTATTATATTATTTGTAGTATAAAACTAGGGTGTCACCTTTTTTTAAAGAAAATGTAGCATTTTTATTGAGTTAATAAAATATTACTGATAAGAATATAGAAAACTAGTAATGTTGTAGATAGAATGTTGAATCTTAATTATTGTGAGCACTAACATGTGTTACAAACATACTCGTATTTAGTAGATACTTCTTCACATTGCTTACCTGGTGCATTCCAGATTACAGTGTAAAGAGAGTACAGATGTAAAATAGTTCGGCAATTGATTAACAATGATGTAATATTATCTTACCTATGGTATTATGTACATCTCGTACTATAATATTTTTATATTTCATATAATAAGAGAAGACTAAAATTTTGTAAGTTAATATACCATATATTTTAGTACGGATGGGAACCCTATTTATCTACATGACTTGTGATCAAAAATATAACGAGCATAATCTTTATATTACATATCGTACTTGTTCTCTTAGAATTTTTAGATTTAATTAGAATAGATGATATAATTAATAATGATGAAAAAGTGCTCCTTTCAGAGCTGTCGGGATCAAATGGGGATAAAGTAGCAACATTCACATGCAATTAATAACAATAGTTGCTATTACCTCAGTTGTATTCATTCTACAATAACTCCAGATTCATGTAGAGTTTTCATGAAGAATTTTCTTTATAATGCTGACCCAAAAGAAATATCTTTCATGTTACATGCACCGAGTCGCTCCCAAGACGCTAGTTCTAAGCGTACGAGCTTAAAGTTTACGATCCGCAATAGTTATGGGTTTCTCCCTGTTTCAAAGAGCAAAGATTTTAATAATCATATATAAAAAAAATCTTATTACTGAACTGTCATTTTTAAAATCTCAATGATAACAGATGACAGCTATGTTTCGATTGAAAGTTAATAAGACACTGAAATTATATTATTAAAATTACATTGACTAAGAAGTCATGCCTCAATAAATTTTATATACGACGTCTTGTATATACGATGACGGCCCCATACTAATTAGGTAGACCGTTAACCTAACTGCCCTTTTAAACAGATATCAAAAGAATAAGCTAAACAGCACCACGATCAAGAAATCATAAGGGCAGACAGTAACTATTAAAATGATTTTAAATATTTTCCGGATTCCAAATGAGAGGCTAATTGCGGAGAATAGAGTCCACATTACAACATCATGTATGCAAGGCAATGAATTCTTATTATCCTACGATTTCTTGTAATACAATCTAATTTTGTGTACTGCTTCTATAATGTACCTACTAACTCATAAACGCCTTAGAGTGATCGTAAAATGCACGGGTACTAAACATATTATACGGGTACTAGCATATTGCCTACCGAACATAAAAATTCGTGGATTTATTACTAAATAAAGATGTTAAATACGCGCGAACAATCCAAGGTCGTTACATGACGCCCTTTTCTCCCCTCGTCGAATTTGACATTGAACAAAACTGTTTTTTCCTTAATAACATCGTCTGTTTGTTGTGACATTTTCAGACGATAGTGAAAACATTCATTAGTACCTAATTTCACTTGCTAATCTGCGTGACATAATAAGTCTCATACTTATTATGTAACGTAGTTGCTAACAATTCCTTACAAATAAATTAATAAATAATAACCCAATTTACACGACTCCATCTATAGTCCCAAACCAAGCAGAGCGTGAGTTATAGTCCCATGTTATGCAGAATTTGCGTTATGGGTACTAAGCAACTGATAGAAAAACTTAACTTTTTGGAAACATATACATGATAAACATAAAATAAACGATCATATTCATGAATACCAGTGTTTGTATCCTGTGTTGCATCGAACCTGCGACTATGGGAAGTAATGCGTTATATAAGCCGCTTGATCACCGCTACCTCGTAAGATCTAGCCAATCTAATATACATTTTTGCGAATAGGTAAGGATGCTTCAATTGTAAAGAATACAATTAAGCTTGTACCTACCTGTATTTCCCAAATAGTTGTAAAAAATTAAAAAAAACTAGTCTTTAGACTGATCAAATAAGAATTGTTAGTTACAGTGTTATATACCTACTCACCTACCTAAGCCTCAGGTCGTAATCTACTTAACAATAAACCAGTAATAAAAACAAAATCTTAATTTTGAACATTAAAACAAATTTACGGCGGTCCATAAATACTTGACTTAATATAACCTACACCGATATTTTCATGGCAATGAAATATTTCATTAGCGACCTTGATATTTTTATAATGACTCCTTAATTTTTCGTACCTACAAAAATAATTTCAAGCTCCATAACATAACAAATGACCTCGATAGAAAACTATTTGCCTCCATAGGGGAATTAATGTTACCTACAACCAAAGTTAGACTATGGTTTACGTAATTTACCTTTATAATGTGGTTAGTGATTTGGGTAAGATGAGATAATAAGAAAACATTAGTTTTCAGTGAATTTCCATTTGAAAGCGTGTGGTTTTGAGGCAATTTAATTAACTCTAAACTAGCCCTTTACTACAGCATTATTTAACTTTAATGAAGCTGTAATAAGTTTTAATTAAAGTGTGTACCCGTATGAATAATGGGTAGTTAATGAGGGAAAGGAAATTGTCAGTAATGTGGACTAATAGCCCTATTGCTAGCAATGTACCGTGTCAGATTACCTTCAACGTGGTTCCCCCTGGAAACCATCATGATAAATTCTTGGTGAGCTTGCCACGATGGGCTAACTGACCTGACCTCATATTCATCTTATCATCCTACACTGGTGCCAGCGTGTACCGTTAGCGCAGGCGGTTCAACCAATCCATTATCAGCCATTAAAAAACAAATTGGTAGCTATTATGCGTAATTTATGTGACTTAATTATTGTTTTTATTCTAAATACATAATTATAGCCTACGGAAGCATATATATAGCGATCCACAAGTACGATAGCATTTTTGTAAATTGTGTACTACTTTTTTATTTATTATTTAAAAAGTCGTAATATTTATAATAGGCTATCAATTACTTGCTAATAACTAAGTATCTATTAGTAATTGATTGTATTTAATAAATAATTGATAATGGCTGATTATCATTTACAAAAATGCTGCTGTTTGTTTGGTGATGTACACGAACGACTAGGAATATCGATGACCGTAGTGGCTTTCCTTCAAGTGGACTTTTAGTTTATTTTCATTAACAGTTATTTTAAAAGGTGTACAAGTGTGAAACAACTTGATGTTTTTTGTAGGCATGCAGAATCTATCCATATCCTGTGCTCTGGTGTGCCTCATAGTACTTGGCAGTGCGGCTTTGGTTGGTGCATTCGGCGTCTGTAAACATCAGATAAGTGCTGTACTTGTCACCGGAGTTATGTACTTACTAGCTGGTAAGATATGTCATCATTATATAATTAGCTATTAACAGTACAATGCTTGATATAGACTCCTTCCATAGATTGGTACAAGGTCCGTACCTTGTTAGAAACGTTCCTAAGCTGTAGTTGTTTATTTTTTTTTTTAGCAATAAGGATTTTGGTACAAATGTGTCTGCATTGGCTCTGCCAGATTTATTTCTGCCGTTGAAGGTACAAGAATGACAAATTTCATTAAAATTACAAGTTACGAAAATTAGATTAATCCTCATAAATAGCAACGCATGAGATATCTTGGACTTTGTAATATAATATGTGATATCTGTGTTGTTGTTCATGTATGTTAATAATGGTTGCCACTTACCATGTAGCCGAATTTCAAACAAACTGATGTTGTTGAAATTGGAAATTGTATAAAAGAAACTCCCAATAGTTAATTGACACTTAAAATAAATTACATATTCTACACTAAATCACTATATCTGAAATGCAGCAATCAACAAATAGTGTGTAAACAAGTTCTCAATAAACTGAGATAGGTATAATGTATGTATATTTTACTATTTTCTTTGTTATGATTACATATATTTTTTTTCTTTATAGGACTGTTTGCAATGTTCACTTTAATGATCATACACTTCAAACGTATACAACGAGTATCTGCGAGAGGCAGTTCCCACGTGGATGATACCACGGACGGCGTGGTGGGCCCACAAGCGCCCGCCTTACCACTACTTTCAGCCAGAGAATTCTACAACTCGTGGTCACTTGAACTCGGGTGGGGGGGAGTCGCGTTAGCAACAACTACATCTTTACTATGGATATTGCTGTCAAAAATAATGAGATACAACCCTATATCCGCTATGTTATTGTAAAATATCTTCCCTGATAATATATAGTCAATTAAACATCGATTTTAAAGACGGTATACAATACGGTCAATTTTCGATTGTCGAGGTCTACGTTGTTACTTTGTTAGTGATGTCATCTACTTCCTTGCGACGTTTGAAATTTAAATATCGAATATTCAACGAATTAAAAAAATAGGAATCAAACATAAATATTTTTTTTAATGTTATAGGGCCTGCGCAGGCGATGGACTTTTAAATAAAATGCTAAAACTTTGTGTGTTATGTCCAATTACTTATTTCCTATTACTGAAGTAGATATTGTACTAAGAAACAAAAATAAGTGACATCCTCTACGACATACTTAATGGTAGATGTCACCGTACTTGCCATTCAAATAAAAAAAAAAAAGGTAGGTATGTATATTTTGGTGATCAAAAAATTATTTCAAGGATTACCTTCTCCTGCGCAAGTCCATTCTGTGCTTGTATAAAGCTTAGTGCAGAGCTTTCAGCCGTCCAATGCTATATAATGTTATTGTTATGTCCCTTTCCTAACATACCTTATAGAATTTACCTTATCGTGTTGGCTTTATCAAAGTTTACCTAATATGTAGATAGTACCTAAAATTTCCTAAATATCTAAATAATGAAACATCTTTGTATTTCTAATAAGATGGAACTGCTAATCGCGTGATTGTTCGTTACAGTTATATGTCTTTTATGGTTATTATATTTACATATATATAGGATTATAAAAATCTATCTTGTAAAATCCTGATCATGTGGAATATGGAAAGTGTACCTACCACGAGCTTCATAAAGTCATAAAGTGACTTCTTCAAACGAATGTACATAGGTGGGATCTCTTCATATATATAAAATATGACACAAAAAGTTTCATTAGGCGACATTACATTATCAAAAAAACTATATAGATATGAATAATACAAATGCAGAGCAATAGAAATGTATGAAACTACTAATATATGTATTTCGTCTTGTACCTATAGCTTAGAAATAATCTGATGAAATCAGTTAACTTTCTACCACATACATATTTAGGGCCTTATATGTAATGACCTAAATATATGTAAATAATAATATAATAGCAACTTTCAAAGAACGCTGCCTTTACAAGTTATTTCTCTTTTTTTTTTTGTTTACATTTATATGCACACTCTTTCCTGTGTGAAAGTCGATACGCCCGTGAAAGAGCACACGAGTAAAGGTAGTTAATGAGAACTTTTAGCTCATATCTATAGGTAGAAGATTTTTATGTAATATAGTAAATCTTGTTATTTTTAATTGATAATATATGTAATGCAAGAATACCTAGAGTTATTGCTAGAGGATCAATATATAAATATTTTATTATAGATGTTACTACTTAGAATGTCATAATTATTAAAAATAGGTATTAGTTCCTGATCTCAAAATCACAATCATAAAGAAAAACATTAGATAACCGTCATTTTCTATTTAATCAGTTTCAAAACTATTTCATTTGGTATCATGGTTTGGGTGCTGTAATGACGTAAATAGAATACATATAAAAATAACGCTTGTAATAAAAAAAAGGATATTCTAAATGTAATTAAGATTTTTGAGCCTGTATAAGTACGTCTTTGATGAACCATTGAGCGCAAAATGTTAGAATTACCACGATATACTATAGTAAGTACAGAAACTTAAAATCAAATAAATATTTTTCTGCATTATAATATTTATCGATACCTACAACAAAAATGTTATGTGAAATTATGATAGTTATTTAAAAGAAAACGGGACAAATAAATTGTGTGCATTTAGTAATTATATGGTGCTGTGAAATTTTGTCAGTTTACATTCAAAGTAAAGAATGTGGTCGAAACAGATGTAAATAATTAGATACAAATTTCTATTGTATCAATGTTTTAAATTTACAGATACTTGTGCTCAGAACTATATGATATATCTGTATTCTACCACATCTATCTTTTTTTTCTGTTTATCCTGTAAAAGAAAGGGGAATTGTGTCCATACAACCATGTTTGCTTATACTACAATGCATATCTCTATATAAATTATCTCAGTTTCAATTATAAAGGGATCACAATTGAAACTCAAGTCAAAGGTTTGTATATAATCGCAATATTTTCTATTTCAATAATAATTATTGCGATATCGTTGTATATTGAAGTCTTTTGACATAAATTTGAGGTTTGACTTGACTTTGAGAGTTCAACTGATATTTTAGTATTATTTTTTAATAGCTTTGTTATAAATATCAGTCAGACAAAATGTCAAGTAATGTTATAGAGATTAGTTTACCGGGAAAAGCATGAACGTGCGATCGGCATGTATTGTTAATTGAATGTTAATTATTATATATAGGTATATAATTGTGCTGTGTAAATATTATAGAATGCTATATTGTTATAAAGAAACGATGTTTTAAAAAACAAAAACTCGAAACCTGTTGAATTTCCATCTATTATATATTAAATCAATATAGTTTAATATTGACACAGAATTTTGCACAAGCAGAACGTTTATTTCACCTTTAGAGAAATATAAATGATTAATAAATAAATAATTAATTATTAAATAATTATATAGTTATAAAAAATAATTAATATGTTAACTAAAATTTAAAATAAATATGAAAAAATTATTAAAAAGTATAAGTTTATTAGGCACAGTGTCAATAAATGTAAATTATGATTTCAAATTGTTGTTAGTAAATAGAAAAACTTAATATATAGCTTTTATCTCATGAAATGTCTTACTGCTGCACAAAACATTTCTTAGGAAATTAGACGATGCTATTTCGATTTCTACCAAGCATGTTAACATTTCCAAAAATTTGTACTAAACGATAATAAAAAGTGGTGCTCTTCAATGCACAATAGTAAATAGAGGATTCACAACTATAGCGTAAGTTCGGTCGATTCAGGCGAAATTAACTCACCATGAAGCTACCACCTAGCATCAGAAATCTTTAGAGGAAATCTTGATTGTGTTTGAAAAAGATCTCGTATAATTTAAATTATAGTTTGAATGGAGCGTTTATCTAGTACGAAGATATCTAATTTTAAGTTAAAATATAGGAATCGTGAAATGTGTTTCAATTTGAAAAATACTGGAATGGTTATGGACAAGCTAAAGGAATATATAAGTTTCAAAACCCTTTTAAGTAGCCGTTCAAACTCCGTTCAAAGATTGACTGCAGTTACCGTTCCGGGCATTGACTACAAAATATTTTTTATGTACGTAAATTAAGAATGAAATCAACTGCACGTTTTTCAAGTACGCTATAAACGTACTGGTTTATTGTCACAATCTATATAGACAAAGTAGTTTTCTGACTCCGATTTTAAAAATAAAACTAATCACTGTGCCTAATATACGATTGAAATACTCTTTTAATTCGTAAAATAAATTTTAATACATTAAATAAATATTTATTACATGTGGTGCGGCGGTGGCTATGATCTAGCCTTCTTCGATGGACTATATTGTTGTATAGGAAACTGGCTGGTCAAATATGAATGACTTACCCTTACTTCAATGTGCTTGTTCTTCAGTGGGCCCACACGGTTACGGGAATCTCAGGAATTCACTCAGGTTGATTACAACTATTAAGACATGCGTGCGATATGAGTGCGACGTGCGCGCGCGGCGAAAGCTATGACATCACTGATTATTGAATTAGCCGGGAGGGGTGTCAATGCACATCAACAAACCAGGTACGCATCGCGTTTGGCGTAACCATGCCCCCCGCCTTGACATAATGTCAAAGTAAAATTAACAAAAGAAAAAAAAATAAAGGAACTACACAATTGAACCTTATTGCGAATGCGACAAATACAAAAAACAAGAAAGAAAAAATACAAAAAATATCAAATGCGGAATTTACTAAATAAGAAAAATGCAAAGGATTTTAACTTAACTTATTAACCTATTATAAATGCGTACTACCTATCTTATAGAATACATATTATTGCAAAGGCAATGGACATAATTTTACCACTGGCCTTTGAAAAATACCAGCCTTTGTTTTGACTGAGGCAACGCGAATAATGCCATCCTTACCCTTATAAACTCGTGTTATAAGACCAAGAGGCCAATGTAATGGAGTTAAATTCTCCTGCATAACAACTACTATCGTGCCTTCCTGGACAGGAAAGGCCGGCGTGTTCCATTTGCGTCTCAATTGCAACGTATGCAAATATTCCCGATGCCACCTCTTCCAAAACGATTGAACGAGTTGGTCTAAAAGCTCGTGTCGTTTCAAAAGATGAGGAATAGCGTCACTTACGTCATGTGCTGGGAAGTGTTTTAGCGGTATAGTATTAAGAAAATGAGCAGGTGTCAATGCTTCCAGGTCCGACGGATCTGAACTTAAGACGGTCAATGGGCGAGAGTTTAATAGCGATTCTATTTGTGTAAGAACAGTCGTAAGTTCTTCAAAGGTTAAAATTTGTAGCCCAATGACTTTACTTAGATGGCTTTTGACACATTTTATATTACTTTCCCAGCATCCTCCAAAATGCGGTGCGTTAGGAGGGATAAGGGTCCATTTAATTCCATTGTTAGCTAATTCCTTATCCCAAACAGATCTACATTCTTGCGATAAAAACAAATAAAGTTCACGTAGGTAGGATCGTGCCCCTATAAAATTAGTACCATGATCCGTATACATGCATTGAATAGGACCGCGGCGAGCGAGAAAACGTTTTAACGCGGCAAGAAAACAAACTGTACTCAATTCACTTGCGAGCTCAATATGAACAGCCCGAGTGGTTAAGCACGTGAATAAGCAAACGTATGCTTTGCGAGTGGTTATACCACGACCGCGATAAGGGGTTACAAAAAACGGACCTGCGAAATCACAGCCACAATGGACAAAGGCTTTAGGAACTTCCTTCACCCTTAGTGCAGGCAGATCACCCATCGGTGGGAATGTAGGACGCGGTTTATTGCGGAAACAAATATTACAAGTAGCTACGATCGTGCGAATGATACGTCGAGCTGCGAGAATCCAATATTTAGTACGTAGTATTGACATTAACAATTCTGGGCCTGTATGCAGGTTTTTACGATGAAAGTGTGTTACAATTAATCGAACTATATGATCTCTGCCCGGAAGTAATATAGGGTGTTTATAATCGAAATCTTCATCAGAATGAGTCAGACGACCACCAACTCTTAAGAGATTGTCTGATAAAAATGGATTTAATTTAATTATTGATGCGGTACAAGGTTTTTTATTATATAACTTGCTAATATCGTTTTTAAAATGAAACCCCTGCACAGCGCGAATAATTATACGTTCGGCGAAATCCAAATCGGAACTGGATATGACGCCGCGTGGAAGAATGTTAGCGAACTTATAAATATAACAAATTACACGAAGTAATTTCATCCATGACGAAAATTTGCGAGCGAGCGAATATAAATAAGGTTCCATAGAATCTTCAATGGTAACCAGTGCGATAGGTTTTAATTCTGGAATGTCCGATGAATCCGCAGCAAGAAATGGCTTAATTGGCCATTGTCCCTTTGGTTTACAAATCCATGGTGGACCATTTAACCAAAGGGGGTGCGTTGCGAGTTGAGCAGGACTCAGTCCCCGAGACAGGCAGTCACTGGGATTGTCCGTGCCCTTAATGTGATAAAAATGCGTTGGTTCCATGTTTTCATGAATTTGCGATACTCGATTCGCAACAAACGTATGCCATTTGTGTGGCGACGAGTGTATCAATTTAATGCGACCGTAGAATCCGAAAATGCGAATACCGATTCTATGGGGTATCTTGGCGAATAAACTTGATAAATAATTTTGATTAATTTAGAAAGAATTACAGCGGCACACAATTCCAATCGTGCCAATGCAATTACCTTTAATGGTGCTACCTTTGACTTGGCACATAAAAGTGTAATATTTGAAGTACCATCTGGCAGTTCAATATACGCGTATACACAAGCACCATATGCGCGTTCGGATGCATCAGCAAATCCGAGAATGTTTAATTTGCAATTATCAATAACACCTATATGACGAATAAATTTAATGTTAGAAATGAGTGGTAATTCAGATTGGAATTGATTCCACGTGCGAACAATTTTTTGCGGGGGCGTTTCGTCCCAATCGAGTTTTAAAATCCAAAGTTGTTTAATTAAAAGCTTTGCATATAATATTATAGGCGTGACTAAACCTAAAACATCGAAAAGTCGTGCGACTGATGATAAAATATTGCGTTTGGTGCATGGACGATTAATGGGAGTAACTTTAAATGCGAAAACATCATCTGATGGAAACCAACATAAACCTAAAATTTTAAGCGTTTCATCCTTATCGAATTCCAGATTTTGCGACAAACGATTAC